TGTAATTCAATCTGCACGCGCACTGATGTTTTCATCGCTGCTATGTTTGCCCCAAGCATAGAAGGTACTAACGCTTGAACCTTCCTTGCTCCAAAGAAATTGATATACCAAATTCATACTAATATCTGGGCTAATTTTAATATTCGGTTAGCGATCGACCACTCAAAATAGTATACAAATGCGTCTGAAAACTTATATGGACACTTTATAAAATTACCTATTAAAGTATAACATCAGAGAGCCAGGGTAGTTACATTCAAATAAACTTTATTATAATTATAGTAAATTTGTGCAATTTGACATTATAGTTTAAGTTTATCGTTTCTGTGTTCTTTGGGTTATGACTTAACGTAGTATAAACTTACTGCGCGACTTCCGTTGGAAAATAATCAAATTCTTTCGGAATACCCATCACATGATGACGTCGCCTCTTCCTCGCCCAACCCTGTCGCCATTACGTCCCTGGTTGGCTCGTCGCCAGCCTCGTCCAAGGACCACCACTTCGCGTTGAGTGGTTGCTCGGGAATAAGCGCAACGGTTTCTCGGGACCTCTGTTGGTGTTCTACGCAGCACTGTGCAGATACGTTGGTGCCTAATCGCCCAATTTTCTTCCCCAGACTTGTGTTTTCTTTGCTCCATTTTGTGTACCTGTCTTTGATATCTTTGTGAACGGAGTCCATGTCTTTGATTGTGCCGTACAGCGAGGCAATTTCGGCAATGAGTTCATCCACCCGCGCTGCCAACCGCCTGTTGTCGTCACGTAAAGCCTTCTCGGTGGCGTGTTGCTGGACGAGCAACTTCTTCTTTGCCATAACGTCGTCGACGAGACTAGTACATCGCTTCTCAAGTTGATCGTTCATCGCCTTAAACTTGTCGTTCTTCCTTGTAAGGGTAATTATCTGTTCATTCTGCTGTGTTGCAGCCGATGTGTTACGCTGTACGCGCTGTTCCATTTCGCTTACCCTGCTGAGAAGTTTCTCGTTTTCCTCTTTTAACTTGCAAATCTGGATCTCCATGTTAGCTTTTGTCTCCTGCGCCTTCTCAAAATGTTGTTTCGTCGTGGAGTAAACAATCTCTAAACGATCACGACTGTCCATGACTGTTGATTTTTCTCTTCTCAGCAGGGTCACTGACTCACTTTTCGCGTTCAGTTCGTCGCTCACTTTTTGATAGAGAGATTTGAGCTTCAAGTTCTGTTCTTCGGAACGCGTGAGGTCGCTGTTCTTCAAGTGCAGGCTGCGTCGACTGGTTTTCAGCTGGGCCGCGATTTCCGCTTTATCTTCTTCAGCTTCGCGAAGTTTACTTTTCAGATCTACTTGGACATTCTCAAACCTAACGATCTCGGATTTCAATCCTTCGTTTTCACACTCAATTCGTTCCAATCTCTCTTTATACTGGTTACCATGGTGATCATTCTGGAGCTGTTTGATGCGGTCCTCATACGTGTTGAACATGGAACTCATATCGCAGTTCACTTTCTGTAGTTGGCACACCCGTCTTTCCACTGACAGAAGCTCATTGTTACAGTCACGTAGCTGGTCTGACCGCTGGCGAAGCGCGCTTTTTAATCTATCGACTACTTTTCTCAAATGACGCCCGTCTTGCTTCGCGCTCATCTCCGTGCTCTCAAATCCCGCCACGGCATTCTCCGACAAAGCTGATTCTAGCGCTAGTCCTAACTTATCCAGACTCTGTTTCAATCTGTTGTTTTCTTGGTTCGTCTCTTTGAATACCCTTTTCAATTCACTGCTTTCCATTTCCAGATTTTCGGCGCGAACCTGAGCTTTGACACGTGATTCTTCTACATCGTAAAAAATAGTTTCTAACTTTTTATTGTACTTTTCAGCTTCTGCCAGCTTGCCGGAAACTTCGGCTATGGCTGCTTCGGTTTTCTCGAGGTCTTCCTCGCTGATATGACTTGTGTTTTGAAATCTAGACTTGTCCGTTTCATTTTGAAGCTTGTCGTTTTCGTTCATTAGTTCTTCGACTCGTTTCGACAGTTCTTCGAGTACTTTCTCAAAATCTTCGGCATCAATCGCTTCATCTTCGGCATCAATCGCTTCATCTTCGTCGATGTCCTGCATTTGCCGGGAACTATGTGGTACGCTGTGAATGAAACAAGGTACACGTTTTTAAGAACAGATTTCCCAGAAAGTGTCACCGAATAGTTAATACAAATACAGTCTTTTGAATCTTACAAAAACGTTCGAAATGCATGTATGTGTCCAACGGGTGGGTTTATAAACATGATATAACCGGAATACATGGGAACGCCAACACGCAACTTACGCTTCATGATTGCCAGGAGGCAACTGGTTTCTTAAATTGTGTTTCCCTTTCTGTCGTTTGAAGTTCATGGCATAGTCGTAGTAATATTGCAACAACGGATCTAGCTCTCCGTCTTTGTTGACAATCTTCTCGTCACCATAGTAATGTACCGGTTGCCCGTTCACGTAAGCTTTATCACAAAATTCTACAACGACGACTTTACGTCCGTTGTCAACAGTACAAATAGTGACGTCATAACTTCCAAACGACCTGCAGTAACTGCTACTAGACCGGAGGAGTGCCTGCGTCGATGATCGCTTTTTGGTGATGTCGCCGGATCTACATTTCCTCAGACGCGAGTGACTGGATTTTTTATGGTGTAACTGGAAAGTCACCGACGGGTATTTCACAAGTCGACTGCTAGACCGACAGTTAGTGATGGACTTTCGTGGCTTCGGCGTAGGAATCACACGTCGTTTGATAACGTCTTCCTCCGCTGATGTTACACTTTCACGCGGTGACGTCACCGGCGAAGCATTGCGATGCTGATACAGTTTTGAGTTAATCGTGCCCATCTCGGAGTCAATGACTCAATATTGTGTTGAAAATCACAACACGTATGAGAGATTGCGTGTAAATCGAATGTTAAACGCTGGAACCATGGAACAACGTTGTTTATTTCGTTCCCGAACACCGAACAGTTCAGATACGCGCAAAGACCCTGGGGAGCGTTGTGTCGTCATAGGAAGCGCTGTTCCAGCACAGACAACACCGATCTGCAACGTCAACGCCCTGGGGAGAAGAGTGTATTGTTCTACACCAAGCGCCCTCACTCGTGCGATGGATCAGAATGTGGTGTGTGTCAGTGAGAGAAGCTGAATCCAGGCGGTTGGCTGATGGGTTCACAAGCAATGAAAAACTCTAAATTGCGCATAATGTTTTCAATAATTGTTACCAGTGACAACTTTCTTAATAAGTGTGCGTTTCGACTACAAATGCTCTATCCAGATCGGGGATTGCCCTCTCGTGCCACCAGGGCTAAATCTAAATACTAGTGTTTTTTTGTCAATGACACGTACCATGTAAAGTACACAACATTGGCGATAATGAGAAGTAGTATGTTTTATTGCAATATGAATATTTGCATTGCTATGGGCTTTGCAAGCTGTATTTTGTGTCATTAAAGGGCGGCAGTCGTCGTGCCGCGTCCTGTTTGATATCATAGCGACGTATACAACGCGTGTAAAATACATTGTTTATATACATGAAATTCGAACACGCGCTGCGCGACGACCACCGCCCTTTAAATTTGTTTATTTAAACAAAATAAAAACATCGGAAGAAATGGCACGAGTTTTTGCTGTGACGTATTTATTTTCTATACTGTCATTTTTTGTTCTATTTTAATTTTATTTTAATTGAAAGTAATACAAATATTGATAAATAAAAAGTGTCATAGCATATATACAAGTTGTTGACCGAATTTGATGCATTTTGGTGAGCATATATGATGGTCAGTGGCCGCAGATTGGTCAGTAATAGATAAATTCAATAGGTGATTTTCCGTACAATTGCGAGATCTCGCGAGATGCATGAAAGACGCGCGCCGAACGTCTGCTGCAAAAATCGAACGATTTGATTTTGAACTCGAATTTCTTAATTTCGTAGCTCACATCGACCGGTCGATCTTCGACAGAGCAATATTGCTTCCGAATGCCTATCATCAAATGTGGAAAGCACATTATTAAGCATGGAAATGTCCCCCGAAATACTTTCGCGTTTGTCGAATCCCACGCGATGTTTGACGCCACTACGACGCTATGACTTTTGTTTGTCCTGTTTTTACGTTCGATTTCACGCGAAACGCGTGATTCTCACAGTGAACGGAAAATGGTCTATTGGGAGGTATGGAATGAAAATGAATTACGATTGGATTTAAATAGTTCAAATATGAATGAATCCAAATTTGTATCACTCTCTGTAACAATTACTGTTATTTATTAACTTTATTCCAGGATAATATGAAAATAGTATATTCTATATCAGACGACACCTAAAAACGACAAATTGTTTAAAAAATACGTTTTAAGGAATAATTTTATTATTGCTGTTATCGCCCCTGGGGGCCTCAATAATAACGTTATTATTTACACATGTGCCTATAGCGTTGCAGTCCTTAGCAACCCTGGTACATGTAGTATTAATACAGTTTGTTTGTTTTTTTTCTAAAATTACACCATAAATTGAAACAATACATGTTAGTACGGAATATAGGCACTTTAAAGCGGGGGGGGGTCGTCACCTGCGCACGCGCGGGAATTGAGTCCCAAGCGATGATAACATCACCCGCTAAAAATGCAAAGGCTCATGGGTACGCTTGTTTGTAAACAATGACATGCTATGGCCATCTGACGCATGCGCAGGTGACGACTCCCCGCTTTAACTGCATTTATAGAAATTTGAAGTTGCCATAGAATAAAGTACATTGAATAATTCACATATTTTACCTGTTTTGGGGAAACTCATATAATAAAGAGTATTTTGTCGAAAGCTACCTTACAATCAACAAATGTGCAATAAATAAAAACTGTGCGTCATTTTTTTCGTTCATGTATAATATACCAAACAATTTTTGAAGCAGAAATAGAACTAATAGATGTCCGCCCTCGGTGTTAGTTTGTCATACGGAAGAGATATCAACAGAGGGCGCTATATTATGTAGACCAGTGTTTGTATTATCATGACAGGTTGATAACTACCTGGACGGCCTCGTTGAGTTGGTAACCTTCGGTCATTTGTCATCATGTTCTTCAAACCAACTCTGACCCTGTCATGATTGCAGCACTACTAGCGACAACACTGTCCGTAGAATCGCTAAACTGAGTAAACGTTTTTAGTATTTGCACTATGGGTAAGTACATAGAAATTGGCTCCATGGTAGGTATTGAACACATTGAGATTTGTATCACATTGTTGACCGGCGCGACGATCGATCGCCAGTCGTCTGTGATCTGCACCACGATTGTCTTAAGATGGCGGAGGGCAGCCACTTTTCCAGTTTTCGAATGCACAGCTCTCTAATAATAGTGACGTCACCAATTAATATCATCTACAAACAAACAAGCCTCTCACCGAAGCCTGTCATGTCCCGGGAGGAGAGGTATGTATGGGGGTCTAAAAACTAACTCTGCGACGCGCCGAATGTCGATTATTGCACTCTGCGACAGGATCGCAGTGTCATTCTGCGAAGAGCACGATTCCCATTGGTTGGTTGGTTGGTCGAAAAGCGTGAATCTCAATGGTCGATCGATGTAAGGGTACACAGCATGCCTTGTATAGAAATGTTCAGTTTTAAATGGTTATTTCACCGACTGCTCGCGAACTACGGTAAACAAGTATTTACCGCCGACATGCCGCACGGTTCGGTAATCAGCAAGTATTTAACATTGATTTATTAACATATATAACATCCCCGGGGGGTGAAAGGGGTTACAAAACACATGCACGTTGGTGTTGGCTGCCTTATTACGGTGTAACATCAGGGAGCAACATTAACGCCATCTTGAAGTTGTAAGGCTTCGTCCGCAACTACTAGTATGCTCATTAGCACGCGCGAAGTACGTTTCACACGATGTTACGTTCTTTTTTTTGTCATTAGCAAGTATAATTTGTTATGCCTATATTCATCACTTTGAATTCCCAAATAAAGCGTGTAGCGGGTCAAACTGTTTCTAGGCAATCAAAATCGTTTAATTAAGAATATTAGAGAAAAAAAACGTAGCTGTGTGAATGGATTGAAACTACTGCTGAAGATAGAAAACTAAAACGGCAGTGTCAACGGAAAATTAGATGGGTGCATGCTCTCTGCATAAACGGAAACGATGGCTTTGTTTATTTGGCCGATGTCGACGAGCAACAGATTTCCTGTACTCACTTCCTCGTCTAACCACCGGCCTTCAACGGTCTCACGTATCGGTGTCGTAATCGGTTAAGTAGTTGAAACTCTTGATGCGAATATTTCAGCCTAATCGTCCCTTTCAAACCAATCGCGAGTTTGGTCATAATATGACCTAGACGTGCTTGCAATCTGTTGCGATTCCGATGAAAAATTCTTGAAAAATAAATATAAATTGCGTAAACGAGGGGTGAACGCGAGAGTCCTGTAATTTTTCATCGGTATCAGAACAGGCTGCAAGCAAGTAAATATGACCCTGAGGTGCAGATTTTTTTTTTGCCTCGTCTATCATTGGCGCCTTTGCTTTCTTTTTTTTTTCATCGTCATTGCGTTAGCAAGATGGTGTTATTAAAATAGAATATAGACTTAGAAAATAAAACGATTTCTCAGGCGAAGTCTTGACTGATAATAATGCTGACAGTGGACGTTAGATTAATATGCATTGTTTGCGACCGAAAGCTTGTCACCCGTTCTATCAGCATTGTCAACAACAGAGTGTTACCTGTAGTATACATATACATGTTATAAACATTATGCAAATATTAACGAAACGATAGTAGTGTTAGCGTTTGAGCACTGGTCTTTTCAAAATTTTGAAAAGCTGGGATGATGAATCAAGGTACAAAGTAATTGTTTAATCAATTATTGGAAATCAATAAGAAAAGAAATTCCCTTCCCGCTACATTAAGATCAATATGGACCACCGAAATTTGGCGTTCATTTAAAAAAATAAAATTATGATACAAAAATAATCCATTCATACCACAAACCAACGCCGTTTTTGTTTACTTTTCACAACTGTTACAAAGTATTTCATTTCTGGTGGTTAAAATACCAGCTAATTGATCGTAGACCACAAGTTTGGAGTCTGTTTATGATCTAAACGAAGGCAGACGATTGCAAACAACTGCTGTCATGGCAAAACGTTGCACATCGTGAATGATTTTTTTTCACTGCATGCAAATTATTTTGCCTTGATGCACTCAACAAAGTCAAAGCAGACGTACAACATTCGTTGCAGAACGCGTGAAAAGTACTTCGCGTTCCACTCGCTTTGAAGCTGCCACCTATGCTAATGAGCATAGTCGTCAGGACGAAGCCTTACAACTCCAAGAAAGCGACAACGTTACATCGTAAATAGGCAGTCAAAACCAACGTGCACGTTACACTATTTAATTAATTTTTCTAGCCAGCGGTGTGATGTGTCTAATCACCGTAAACCATGTGTCATTTGTTTGGTCTCACAATTTGTCTTCCATGTGCTTGCCGATCACCGAACAGTGCGGCATGACGCCGGTACATAGTGTTTACACACTTTTTTTTACCATACCATTTTTACCATTT